AAGCATTAAAGAATATAATGTATACAAAATTACCGTGGAAGTTGACCAGAAATCCTGAAAGTGATATAGAGGGTGTAATATTTGAATGAATGGAAAGTGGTGGATAGTTTGCATTGAACTGATTGAATGAATTTTTAATCTGTACAGTACTGAATAACCCTGCCTGTGATTTTTAATACAATATTGGTACTGAATGATTTGCATATTGCCATAGAAATTTTCGGTTAATTTCTCTTTCAGCTAATTTGCAATATAATGTCAAATCATGGTATTTCATAAATATGACTCATCTCGATTTGATAGTTAAAGATGTGTTTGCATATTTGTATCAGAAGTAAAACAAAATAAATCTCATGGAAATGGTTTGAAAAATGAGCTGAAAAGTCGAAATGAAGTAGAAATTTGTGCTAGTAATTCCCTCGTATTGAAACTTTGCGACCACAGCTTAAAATAGCAATAAATGAAATTAAATCGTTGTAAGTCAGAGTTTGGAAGTTAACAATTGATTTTTTGGCCTTGTTCAGATTATTGATTTTTGGAAAATTTAAACTGAAACACTGCTAAATAAAAATTGAAGTAACTCTGAAGAACACTTTGAGAAAAAGCAATTCTCTAGAACTGTGTAGAAAGAATAGAAATGATCGCTATCGAAGCAAGGGAATAGGAAAAAAACGATTTGATGAGGTCGTTCAGGGTCATGAATGAATCACCTGTCTACAATGGATGGCCTTGTATCACTTATTAACTCATTTCCTCTATGAAGTCTTCCGATTTATGGTATTTTGTTCCCAAACTATGTCCACCACGTCATTTTGTCTCAGCATCGTTCTCCCTCCCACAATTATGCTTAATCATTTGTCACCAACTTAGTCGCTTCTTACTACCAGGACATCTATCTCAATTTTCATTATATGAACAGGGAACGTGAAAATAAATAAACAGACAACTGAGGATTCCGCTTTTGGATTCTGAAAGAAACATAGCTAAGCCTAAGTCTAAGCCTTTTCATTAGTAATGCATATATGACAAGCAAACAACTTGCATGTCATGCATGAAGAACTCGCAATTAAGTTTCATTATTACTAAATCATTGACGAAGAACTTGCAATTAGGTTTCAATATTGCTAAATCATTGACGAAATTATATATAACAACATCGAGATTTTTGGCAACAAAAAGGCTTTTCTTAATCACAGCACTTGAACCTCTCAGCATTTCATACGGTTGCTTATCTATTTCCTTTGTCAACTTACAGTTCCATTGTGATGTTCGTTGAAAATAACAGGCATTTTTTTATTTAATTAATAAACCATACCAACTACGGTCTCACACCAGTTAGTTGTCGAATATGTGATTTGCATTCAACAAATGTTCCAAATCGGTGACAGATCTGAGGAGACGGAGGAAAAAAATCGCAGTGTCGAAAACTTTTTAAGATGAAGTGAGAGAAAAGAATTTTTAAGTTTTTGAAAGTAGGGATAAATTTAATCTAATTTCAAAGTTAATCTTTGATTAGATTAAATTTATTCTTATCCGTTTCGTTTGTCAACTTTTCAATTTCGTTTTTCAACTCACAGTTACATTGCAAAGTTCCGCTGAAAACAATAGGCATTTTGTCATGCATTTTCAAGTAACATTCTACTCAATTGATAATCCATCGCAACTACTATTTCACACCGGTGAATTGTCGAATAGTTGATTTGCATTCGATGAAAGTTCAAAACGGTGACAAATCTGAGGAAACAGAGAAAAAGTCTCAGCACCGAAAACTTTTGATGGTCAAAGTGAGGAAAAAGTTTTCAAATTTGAGAAGTATGAATAAATTTAATCTGATCAGATTTATTTTTTGACATGATTTGGGAAAATATGTTAATACGAATGTGCATGACAGGTTAGTTTTTAGAATTCTGAGAATTGTAAAAAAGGCTTATTCAAAAATGAATAAATACATTTCTTAATTAAAATTTATAAAAAAACGAGGAAGATAACTAACAATTCTAAATGTCACAATATACTGCTGAAATTGAAAACTTTAAAAAGAAACAATAGAAAAATTATCGAAAAAAAAGAATTTAATATGTCAAGATCGAGTAAAATTACGACACTTTATTTGGTGTTAAATTCAATGGATGAACTTTGATGAGAGTGAAACGTTAGATTAACTGAGCAAAGTGACCATACGTAGCACTAATAATTTAGTGATGCATTCTATTTTATCGTATTATCACTTTTCTTTTCTCCACAATATTTTTTTTAAAAACATTTCAACAACAATTCCTTTGAATACAACATTCCTGTATCAAAATTTTTTACTCAAAGTTGTCTATGTGAAAATTTCCGCAATTCAAAAATTTCATGAAATGAAATTTGATTTGAAATGAGAAGCAGTCATGATGTGACAATAATTAACTTTTAAAATCAGTGCTTTATCTGATATGGATTGATAAGAATGAAATATTTCATCGGCAAGATATGATGACTTAAAATTTGTCCTTGTTTATAAAATTAGTCGAATTGGTCAGCATTGGAAAACCTTACGTTTATTTTTTTTTCTTCTATGATTTAAAGATAAATTTATTACTTACTTGACAGGATTTGTTATAAAAGTGCTTAATATTATTTAAGGCACATCGCTTGCTTCAAGTTTATTAGAACAAGATTCGCTACCTGGTTGGTTCGAATTCGGTACTTAATTTGAATGGTGACATAATTTCAAATGTTGCAATGATCATCATTTCAGGAGTATTTTTCGCACGGACGTTTTTTTCAAAGGAAAAATAATAAACAAAAAGAAAATAATAGATGATAATTGCCCGAAAAACAAATTTAATTACTATTTATACTATTCATATTTTGAAATTTACATTTCAATATTTCAAAGCAAATTTCATTTCAGTGAAACATTCATTTCAGTGGAACGAGATTTTGAAAGCCATCAATTGTAGATTATAGCACAGATTCTGACGAAATTTCTTCTTCTTGGTCTCTGGAGTTTTTTTAAGTGTCTTATTCAATTTTATTTCAATTTTTAATTATTTGAACCATTTTTTATACACTGAATCCATTTTGAGGGAGAATTTGAATTTCTGCTAAAGCGGTAGTGACAAATGATCCAAGGATTCCAGGCTTAGTGACCAAACTGTCACAGGCTTGTTGACACGATGACAAGAGGAATGCGTAGGTGGGCCAATTCATTCGTTTAGCTGCATACAAAGAAGCTTGATAAGGAATGTCTAAATGATAAAAAAGCCTTAAATTTCAATGTTTGTTTCACTGTTGAGGTTCTCATGACTTGCAGATTCGCTTGGTGCTCAAATTCATGTAACAGCAAAGTTCAAAATTAAAATTTAGAATGATGCATCCAAAGGGTGTAATATTGGCATGAATGGGAACTGGTGGATAGTTTACATTAAAAGGATTGAATGAATTTTTAATCTGTACAGTATTGAATAATCCTACTTGTGTTCTTTAATCTAATATTGGTACTGAATGATTTGCATATTGCTATAGAAATTTTTAGTCAATTCCTCTTTCAGCTAATTCTGCCATATAATGTCAAATCATGGTATTTCATAAATATGATTCATTTTTCATTAAAGATATATTTGCACATATATATCAAAAGTAAAACAAAATAAAATCTCATGAAAATGGTTTAAAAAATGGGCTGAAAGTCGAGACGAAGTAGAAATATGTGCCGAGCAATTCCTTTGTACTAAAACTTTGCGACCACAGCTTAAAATAGCAACAAATAGAATTGAATCGTTATAGCCATTTTGTAAGCAATTCAGGTACGCCTCGATTGTTTCCAAATGCTGCATTCGTTGCTTTGCTGTTTGGTAGATTTGACATTCGTCATCCCAATGATCGTCTTTGCAAATGAACAAGGTCTTCGTATTTTATCACTTTCAGGATATTTCCTTGAGTTTGTGATCCTTTTACTATCGTTTGGCTTGGGCTGCTTGATTGCCTTCAAAGTAGACGTCTCTCCTCTAGTGCCGCGTCGTTCGTGGTTCGACTTCGATTCGGTTGATTTTCGTTGGTACCCACCACTAGAGGCCTGGCTTCTCTGCATTTCCTCATTTTGTCGGACTAGTTCTTGCAGGAACTTTCGGAGTCTGGTGACCGACCAGAACTCCTGGTCCTTTTTTTTGGTAAACTTTGTTCAATATCCAAATTGGCAATCCACTTTCGATAATAATTTCAATGCCTGAATGCTCCAAACACTCATCCATTGCTTCCAGTTGTCGAAGTATTCTTTTCATAGTTTCAACAGTTGTTTTTCACTCTCGGTCGTGTCCTTGAATGGAGTATAACTCATTGTACAACTTTTTTATAGTAGATTTCCAAATTTTTTGATCAAGACTATTCTTATAGCGTCGTAGTTTTCTGGAACAATATTATAGCCTTTGACAGCTTGTAGAGCGTTTCCTCTGAGATATGAGATCAGATAATTTAATTTTCGAATATCGCGTATTTTTTGGAAATGCACTGTGGCATCAAAACTATCCCAGAATTCTCTCCATGATTTTGGGTCACCATTGAATGTTGGTAGTGGTAACTGTGGCAAATTTACTATCTGCTGAGACATTTGGGAGAGTCGACCATATCCGCGTATTTGTCTTCTTCTTGCTTTCTTTTCTGTGCATTCTTTTGTTTCTGGATATACTCCGACCATTTTTCGTTGATTGATCCGAGTGTACCAACATAGAGTTTTAGACGCCTTATTTTTTCTTCTATAGTCCTTCTCTTGAGTTCGAGTTGCTGTTGCTTCCCCTCCACTGCTAAATGTTGATCAGGAAGCGTTAGGTCCATTGCTTTTACTTCGTCGAGAAGATCCTCTAACTTTTGCTTTGCCGGTTGAGCACTTTTGATTATAGTATCCGACATTCCCGGCTCATGACATCAAAAATTTGTTGGCAAATTGTTTTTCTGTTGAACTCGTTTCTCGGCGATGCAGATTTATTCGGGAGGTAATATTGTTCTTGTGCAATATTACTATTTAACACCAAGAAAAAGGGTATAAAATATGAATGTATATAACACGATGAATTGGTAAGCAATGATAAATGAGTTATATAAAAAGCAATTAATATAAGCAATTAATATATCGTTATCAACCAAGAAGTTCACGCCACTATTTTCATGAAATATGGGATAACGAAAAGAATAAAGACAAGACAGATCACAAATTTCAATATTAAAATGAGAACTTTTATTTTTGCTAAACTTCGAAACTTGAAATTTCTCTAAATTCGCAAAACTAACGAGAAGTTATAAAGCACATCGCTTCATGTGTGCTTTCAAGCTGCCCTTGCAGCTGAAGGATTTGTTGCAATTTTCGCATTGAGGTTTAGGTAGATGTTTTTCCTTGTGAGAGTAAAATGATGTGCTATGATTGTACTTTTTCCCACAATTGGGTTCTTTACATTCGTAAATAAATCGTTTGCCGTGCGTTTTCTTGTGTTCTATCCATTTTTTGTGACTGTTCGTGTGAAAAGCACATCTGACATGTGGACACTCATGAGTTCGCTTTTCTGAAAAACTCTTATAACATCAGGCGATCATGAAGGATCGAATATGCAGTCCAATTTTTAATAAGAATTTATTTAAAAAAAATTGCCGTTTCTGTCACTAATTACTCTTATGATATGTTGCATAGTAAAGAGAATGAAAACAAAACAGATCAGAAAGCCAATATTAAAATGAGACTATAAATTGGCATCTGTTTTGATGGCAGCATTGAAGATGCCGCGCAATTTCTGATACTTACACATTATTTCGTGCATTGTATATGCCCGAATTGTGGATGTGTTGCAGTTAGGTCTACAACGAATATTTTCTAAATGCTGCCTCACTGCGCCAAAAGAAATGGACACTTTGCCGCAGTTTGGCTTCATTTTCTGCATTGCAATATTTATTGAATTTTGCAGTGTTCCATGGTCTTACATGTTTCGCATCACATTTTCATGTGCATTCTACTATTCGAGATAGAAACATGCTTGAAATTTTGCTAGATTTGTGAAACTAACGAGAAGTTATTAAGCATCGCTTCATGTGTATTTTCAAGTAGTCCTTGCGGCAGAAAAATTCCTTGCAGTTTTCGCATTGAAATTTAGGTTGGCGTGTTTCATTGCGAGAAGGAAACGATGACGTTGGCCCACAATCGGGTCGTTTGCGTTTGCAAATAAATGGTTGGTCGGGCGTTTTCTTGCGTTTTCTATATTCATCGCGATTGT